TTCGTCCGGTTAACGGTCGTTAAAATGAATCGGGCCGCTCTCTATTCCACGGGGGTGATTTGCGCTTTCCGTTCGCATTGTCAACCGGTCCCTGACGGGGTGACCGCGGAAGCACGCGGAGCCGCGCGTATAATGAAACTGTCTCTTCCGCTTTCGCTCGGCGACATTCCTTTGTCACGTCTCGTCCCGATTCGTCGTCGTCGTCGTCGTCGTGATCATTTCCCGTTTCCCGCCGATTATGAATAGAAAATCGACGCGTGATTGCACGTGGAAAAAGAATTCCCGAGATCGTTACTCGTCGCCCCGAGAAGGTTTTCTCGGTCAGCGGTGAAGTCGCGCCTCCTCCGTGGAATTTCTCCGTAACGAAAGTCAAGCAATACCTGCAGCTCGTTTGGATCGAGATTTAAGTTCGACTGGGAACAAACTAGACCGGGGTAATCTCGTTCTCGTTAGCGGAGTTACCACGTGGAACGCGGTTGACCTGAAACTGCTTCCCTGCCCTTCAGTCCTTTTAGTTTGATGTAAAGGGAACCACGGCTAACTTTCGGATTGCGCCTCGGTTTATGCGCCAAGTTATGGACTCGCTTCGTTTCCTCGTTTCGTCCGCCTTCTTTCGATTCTAAATATACAGACCGATATTCGATAAACCATAAAACCTGAAGGAAGAACAATTTCACGATTTCGATTTTTCTTTCTTCTTCTTTTCTTTTTTTTTTCGATCATTACTCTTTGAAATTTCTCGACTATTGTTGCAAGTTTCGACGTTCTTTCGTTGTGGCTTGCTTTTTCAGTAACTTAACTCTCTCGGTTCAGTTGATAAAATCATAGCAGATTCCTTTCAGTTCGGGGAATACCCGAATGTTACAGGTCCGGGCGATTTTTACCGCGATTTTTCCGATTTGACGAGGCGTGTCCCTGTTTTTCTATACGCGAATTCCAAACGTTGCATTTGCATCAATGCATATTTATTCTTGATCCCATCCCTAGTAATTTCCCTCGTTGCATAAATCTTTCTTTTCTCTCCCTCCCTCTCTCTCTCTCTCTCTCT